TGCCCGTGGCGAGAGACCAGGGCTCTACGCCCTTTACGATGCAAAGCGTTGTTCGGATCAGCGTGACTTTGTGTGTTGCCTGTCTGTTGACCGTTTACTGCCGAGTTAGTCAGAGGTTGGTCTCTAGGTCTTCCGTTTGAATCTGAATCTTCGCCGACGTCGGTTTCACCATCTGGTGGGAGATCTTCCCCATCGATTGAAGATGCGTTTGCACCTGTGCTGGTAGACTGGGTGTTGTTTCCGTTAGCTCTTCTGTTAGCCCGAATTGCTCTAGATTCAGCGTTGACCATGGTTACAAATATGGTGAAGTAAATGGTTTGAGTGGTACGGTAATAGTTGAAAGAATGTAGACGTAGTGTAGTTTGGGACGATAAGAAGAGTATTGGAGTATAGAATCTTAGTTTGAGTTGTTCGACGAAGTAGTAGTTCAATAGGTTTACGTAAGTAGGGTTATGTAATAGGCAATTACGCCATGATTAGTACTATGTTAGTGAGATTTATGTGTTTGTGTGCTTATTTAGATTATTGTTTCTAAGATTATAAAAGGGACTAAATTTGGAAATTTATGAAGAATGTATGATAGAATTGAATCAGAAAATAAAAAGAAGTTATTCAAGTAGAATAGATTGTATAACTTGTGATGGAAAATAAGGGAAAATTAGTTGATAAATAAATTATATTTGGAATGGACGAAGGGAACAAAAGCCAAGAGAGGGAGAGTCGTATGTTAAATAACCGTACTACATCGTTTCTGTTGTAGCGCTAAATGAAGAAGAGTGACGTAATGCTTCTTTTAGTAAGGATTGACTTCTTATTCATTTAATCTATCCTCCTTGAGCATAGATAGCCTCCCTATTGGGTTTGTTCGATCCATATTTCTTTTTCGTGTAATTTTCTCTCAAAAGTTCGCTTTACCTTTTTCCATGGACATATCTCACAATGTGTGCCTTTCGTAAGAGGCAAACAGGGGTGGATTGGATCTGGCCAGATGTGAAACCCCCAAGCCCGCACAAACCCATACAGGCCATGTGTGAACCCATATCTTGAGGTTTGCATCAGGTCTGATGCAGGCCCTGATCCTGAGAAAAACCCCTGCAACACTGGCACTTTTCTGGCGGGGAGGGTCTGCGTCTGGCCAGATGCAGACCCACAAACCTGTACAAACCCATACCTTATGGGT